TGGGTGGCTCAGTCGTTAAGCGTCTGCCTTCGGCTCAGGTCATGATCCCAGGGTCCTGGGATCGAGCCCCGCATCCGGCTCCCTGCTCCGTGGGAAGCCTGTTTCTCCCTCTCCCTCTCCCCCTGCTTGTGATCCTGCTCTCACTGTGTCTCTCTCTGTCAAATAAATAAAATCTTTAAAAAAAAAACAAAACACCCAAGCATATTTCATGAGTTTTATACTCACAAGTTTGAAAACAACTCTGCCAAGCAGTCGAACAGAATCCGGGGGATACCTGGGTTTGCAGCTTTTAAGGCATTTGCATTCCCACTTGTGGTCTGGCCAACCTTTTTTCTGTTAAGACAAGAGTGGGGAGGGCGTATGTTGTAACTTTCATTTACACTCATTTTGAACGTGGAGAGTCATCAACATTAATTTAATGTCAACAGCCTAAATATAACTGCAAAATAGAAAACGAAAGCAATATTCTAATACTATTAATGATGCAGAATCTAGTCTTTTCTAAGCATGTAATTACCAGGCGTGGACATCAACAATTCTCCTCCACCTCTGCCCTTTAATTTACCCCGTGGTTATTACCTGGCTGGTGGAGTCCAAGGAAGAATCATTATGGCTTACTTAATAATTTATAAGATAGTCTTTTATCTTTTAGCTGATTAAATAGGATTCAATAAGAGGCAGTAATTTTGAATACAAAAAGAAAATATCACACCAAATTAGAAAATAAACACATGGTTCAAGAAAATCAAAACAGGGCAGATAGCCTTCTGAATTTCTGTGCTGCTTTAGAGAGTATAGAAGTATCAGGGGCTAATATAACAATAAATATGAAACCTTTTGTTTTTGAAGACCATACAGCAAGGGGTTATTAACTAAAATGACCAAATGTCATTTGCCCAGGACCGCTGTGGTTTATTTATGTTGTCCTGGCCTAATCATTAATAGTACCCCTTTTCATTCTGAAAAGTGTGCTGTGGATGATAAATTATACGGTCACTTAACCCACAATCCTACCAATGTGCTGGTGTGGCTGAAAAGACCAACAAGCCAGTCACCAATCCCGCATCGCTGAGAAGAGCCGACAGTGGGGAGGAGGACACTGTCTCCCTGAATCTTGGAGTCAGAAATGTCATGGCTCCTACACAGGGAATGACCTCTATAGAGAAATACAATGCAGAGTATCTAAGACTTAACCCTGGTGAGTGGGAAAAGACTCGACTGAATGTCTGATAGGTTCTATTCCAACTGAGAGCTGGAAGTTCCGTCACTGAAATGCCTGACACTCACACACATTCTTGCTTCAGAAACTGTAAATATGCCTCCCAACTTCTGGCCCTATAAAATCCCTCCAGGAGGAACTCTCTCTTTTCTACCTATAGCACAAACACGCAGTGCAACCAGAAATACAAATCTGGGGACACCTGGGTGGCTCAGTCGGTTAAGTGTGTGACCTTGGCTGGGGTCGTGATCTCAGGGTCCTGGGATGGAGTGCCACATCGGGCTCCAAGCTCAGCGGGGAGTCACCTTGTCCCTCTGCCCTCCCCCTACTCGTGCGCTTGCACACGCTCTCTCTCTCTAAAATAAATAAATTTTTTAAAAAGTCAAAAATGATGCAGCTACTTTGAAACTGTGAGTTTCAAGCCAGCATTTTGCTCAGAAAGACTGCCAGTGTTGAGTTCCTGGGTGAAGGTGTGGCTTGTCTGCTATTTCCTACGAACCCAAATCTTGAAGGCAAGGTTTGCAAGGGGTACAATACTTCTTTCATCAACTGAACCCATGACTGCCTCACTTCATTTCTTCTTATCCACTACAGCAATGCTCTTAATGTGATGTTTGTAATCTTTTTGCTTTTTTAGTATTTATACTTCACTCACTTCTAAACAAGACTGAGTTGCTTCCAAATGAAGATGTATATGAAATAAGGTTGTAAAATTAGAAATGGAAAAATGTTGAAGTTACAAAAAAAATAGTCCTCGACCATTTACTTACATTCTGCAGTATGTCAGACACACGGCTAAGCAAATAAAAAAGGATATTTCATTTGATTTTTCACAATAATACAAATGGTAGATATTATCCTTACATTAAAGATGACTAAAGTAAAGCTGGGTGGGATCTTACCACCAAGCTACATAAACACAAAAGAGAGTAAAAATTCTTAGTATCCGGGGCGCCTGGGTGGCTCAGTCGTTAAGCGTCTGCCTTCGGCTCAGGTCATGATTCCAGGTCCTGGGATCGAGCCCCGCATCAGGCTCCCCGCTCGGCGGGGAGCCTGCTTCTCCCTCTCCCACTCCCCCTGCTTGTGTTCCCTCTCT